CAGGCAAATCCTGCCCCGTATTCCTGCTCTGAACCTTTGTCGCCGACCACAAGAAGGTCCCTGAGTTTTACGTGGGCCACAATGAAATTAGTGAGTGATGAATCCCATTCATATCAATGGGACACAGGGAATTCTGTGCAGATCCAGCTGCTTATTGGGTGGAAAATGTTAGCCCAGGATACATTAAATATTTTAGAGGGTGTGGATTTATTTTATAACTGCAGTTATTAAGCCTGTTCTGCCTTTCCCAGTTATTTTTTCTCATCAGGGCTGTGTGATCCCAGGGAAGGGCTTCTCTCCCTCAAGGATTTTCCAATCCAAAAGGAACAGCTGTAGTAGAAAAGAGGAATTACTGATTAATCTATTTCAGGGATGCATCCCCCAACAGCTGCAGTGGTGTCACCACACAGTGCAGGGATCCCATTCCACTCTGGTTTTCCCTAAGGATGAGCCAAACCCACTTTGTTCTCCAATTTTCCCAAGCAGAGCTGAGCTCCCATTCCAATTCCAATTCAATTTTCTATAGCAAAGAGCATCTACATAGGGAAAAATCCATAAAAAAACACAAAACCTCAGCTTAATTTTTAATGGATTCATTCCAGGTTGTGCTTGGGTGGGATTGAGGAGCAAACTGGAGCTGCTCCGGGCTAGGACAGGTTTTTCCCAGCTCACATCCCTGCAAAACCCATCATGGACAAGAAAAACTTAGGAGAAAGTAAATTTACTGAGTAAATCTTACAGAATCCAGGGAAAATGGGAGAAATTCAAACCCAAGCTGAGCTGTCCTTGGAAGGAGGCGGACAAGGGCGAACAAGCCCCGGCTTGAATTTGTCCTTCCCTGCTCCCTTCCCTGGGGCTGGCTCCCATCCCTGGACAACCTCCACTCATCCAGCCAGAAAGGTGGCTTGGATGTGTTTTTTTTCCTGGGATGGTGCAACAGGGATCAAAGAGGCTTTCCCAGATCCAGCCCTTCCTCCGGGGGTTTCCGCTCCCGGCCGCGAACCGGGCGGGACCTTCCCAAGGGAATGCGGGGTCCCCCCTCCTCATCCTGGCTGGGGATTCCACGTGGAGCAGTGCCCATTATTGACCCAAATCCCTGAGTTTTCCTGCAATTATGGGATTGGTTTGGGTTGGAATGGGATTGAAAGGTCATCCAGTGCAGAGGGCAGGGAGACCTTCCACTAGAAGAGGTTGATCCAAATCCTTGGATGTTTCCAGGGATGGGGCAGCCACAGTTTCTCTGGGAATTCCATTGCAGCCTCTCACAGCCAAAAACTCCTTCCCAAAATCCCATATAATCTGACCCTCTTCCTGTTCAAAGCCATTCCCTGTGTCCTGTCCCTCCATCCCTTGTCCCAAAGTCTCTCTCCAGCTCTCCTGGAGCCTCTTTGGGCACTGGAAAGGGGCTTTGAGCTCTCCCTGGATCCTTCCTTTTCCCCCTAATTTGGGGAAAGCTTTTGCCCATTATCCCAATTTCCCCCATCCCATTCCCAGGTGTGCTGCTCACACCTGGTTTGGGATGGATGAGGACATTGGGAGGCTCAGCTGGGATGAGTTTCCTGATGACATCAGGGGCAGGTTGGAAGCAATGGGCTCATCCCATGAAAAGGGCTGGAGAGGAGTGGGATGGGTTTCAGGATGAGGGTTCTGGGCAGTAGGACCCAGTGGGATCTGGGCTTTGTGCCCAGATTCCTCTGCATGCAACCATGGAGCTCTGATGAATGAGAGGCAGCTGAGAAAAGTTGGATTTGGGGATTAATTTAATTATGTAATTGAAGAGGAAGCATCTCCTGCCAAGTAGGTTTTTCCTGATTATTTTTAAATCGATATTTTTTTTCACCCCCATTCTCCACTTGAGTGGTCCACAGTATTTCCCTGCTTCCCAGGTCTCCTTGCTGTGGAGCTGCTGCTTCCAAAATTCAGCTTTTGGGCTAAAACTTCATTTCCCAGGGTGCATCCTGGGCTGGGAGCCTCCAATCAGGACGAGGGACACTTTTAAGGAGTTTCCTGGGAGAGGGGGGACTTCCCTCAGGGAAGCAGGTGGGTGAGGAGTGAGGTCTTCTCCAGGCTGGCTGGAATTGGGCATGTTCTCCTGTACCAACTGAGCTTCATCCCAACTGCAGCTGCAAGTGCTCTTGGCACAGCAAAGCCTGGTAAAATATGGAATTTTTCTAAGTGTTTTCTACTCCCAAAAACTTTTTCAGGGTGTTTCAGACTGTTTTTACTTAACTCTTTGAGAAATACTGGGGGTTTTTCCCTCAATGTAGAGGTTTTTCATGGATGGGGACTAGGAATATGACCTGTATTCCTTGCATCCTCTTAAGTTTCTAGGGAAAACAGGGGGTTGGCAGAGTCTGGCTGCTCCATGAGAAGAGGAGAGGGGAGAGGTGGTGGTGGGGGCTCAATATCTCAATTTACCCCATTTCTCTGCTGTGCTTAATTGTTGTTAATTGTGGTGGTGGAAGCTGTGAATTCCTGAACTATTTTAGGGAATTTTGTCCTTTTTTTTTTTTCCTTTTATTGCCTTTTATTTTGCCACCTCCAACTGAAGTTCAGGGACTGAGCTTAAGTTTTTTTCAACATGGGTTCTCATTAAAGCTGAGCTTGACCCTGTGGGCTCCAGACTTTGGGATTGAGCTGTTGGGGTTTCCTTGGAGGGCAAAATTGGGGTGGCACCAACCCTGTGCTGTTTCCATCTCATTCCAGTGACCATCCTGGGTTTCTGCACCTTAGCACTCCCAAGAAATTGCGAATGACGGAGCCATGGGGGTGTCGAAAGCCAGGGAGGTGAAGAGCAGCAGCAGGTGGGTACCATGGGGCATGGCAGGGAATTTTGGGGGGGCTCCTGCTTTGTTATCCCACTGGTTTTCCTGGGAGTTTCATGCTCAAGCAGAGAAATTGCTCCGGAATTCCTTTTGGGAAGCATTTTTTCGTGCTGCTGGGCATAAGGATTAGGAAGTATGGCATCATGCCATGGTTTGTGGTTACCACCAAGGGGTTGGTTTCAGTGGGATCAATTCTTCCTTATCCCAGGAAGCGAAAGAATGAGTTGGAAAACGGGCAGGACAAGCCAAAGGAGCTGGAATGCACAGAGAAGGTACCACAACCCCTCTGTGCTTTGGGGTGACCCTTGTAATTATCCCAAAAAAAATCTGTGGTGTTCAAACCCATGGCATGAACTTCCTCTTCCTTGATCCTGCTCTGTCCTGGTGCGAAGCCTTCCATGGTAAAAGGGAAGAAGAAAGAAAAATCAAAAGCCAAGGAAAAGCCTCTGCAGGAGAACATCATCAGCAGGTCAGTCCTTGGAATGGGCTTTTCCATCTGGGATATCTCAGAGTTGTGCATGAGAAGGCCACAATGTCCAGCTCTGCTTTCCTTGTGTTGCTTTGATTATAAAAATGATTTTTTAAAAATAAAGGGCATGGAGTGATGGGAAAAGGGGAATCACCTTCAGCTGAAGGATGGAAGGTTTAGGTTGGATATTGGGAAGGAATTCTTCCCTGGGAGGGTGGTGAGCCCCTGGCAGGTGTTTTCCCAAAGAGAAGCCATGCCTGCCCCATCCTTGGAAGTGTCCAAGACCAGGTTGGATGAAGCATGGAAAAACCTGGAATAGCAGAAGGTGTCCCTACCCATGGAAGCAGCATGGAACAACATAATCCCTTCCAACCCAAACCATGATCCTAAAATATGTGTGTCTCCCTTCTCTGTCCCCTTTGTGGCCAAGAAGCTCCCTGGAGCAGGAGGCTGTGGATGGGAACGGCCTTGGCTCCAGCCTCTGGAATGGGATCCAAGCTGAGGAGGGAGCTGCACCTGGGTCGGTACGTGGTGGTGGTCGCTGTGCTGAAGGATTGGGGAGCATTCCCATGGTTTGTTCCCAAGGGAATTGGGAGGGTTCTCTCTTGTGGTTTGGTGCAAGACCCTGGAAGGAGCTTTTGAGCACCTGGAATTAAATTAAATAATAAATTTCCTGGTTTTGGGGTTGAATACGTCACATTTTGGTGGCACCTGTGGGGAGCATCAGGATATGGGTGACTCACGTCCTAAGCAGGAGGTTGGGATTGGGAATCACTTCCTCAGGAATTTGGTTTTCCATGCTTTCCTTGTTCATATCCCCTCTGGAAGTGTCCAAGGCCAGGTTGGATGGGGCTTGGAGCAACCTGGGATAGTGGGAAGTGGGGGTGAAATGAGATGATCCTTAAGATCCTTTCCAACCCAAACCATTCCCTGATCCTTTCCTTGTGCCGGAGAACACAAATCCCAGGAAATCCCTGCTATATTTTGCTTTTTCCTGTGTTATTTTGTCCTCTTGGTGGAGATCATGGATCTGGACACTCCTTCTCCTGTTGTGTAAATCCAGCAGAGATCCTTTTCCTTTTTCCCTCTTTCCATCCCTCTCACAAACAGGATCCCAAATGTCCCCAAACTCTCCTGGATGGATCAAATTCATGGAGAAGCCTTGAAACCCCCTGTGGTCCTGACATTCCCAGTACAACCATCAGGCATTTTCAGGCAGGAATGGCTTTGGAAGGCCATGGCTCTTCCTGAATTTCCCAACAGCTTTTCTGAAGGATTGTGAATCCGAGAGCAGGCGTGTTCCCAGGGAATGAAAGTTTATGTGCACCTAACCAACCTGTAATTAACTCAGGGTTTTATTTTCCCCTTAATGAGTTCGCCCAGCAGCTTTCAGGAGAAATCCCTGTGTGGTTTTGGCTTGCCTTGAAAGCCTTGGGAAGAGAAACTTGGGGAAGTTGGGATTTAGAGTGAGAACCTTGGCAAGCCCTGGATGAGGCTGGGATGAGTTTTGGGATGCCTTGTGTGGTCAGGAGCAGGAGAAGATGGTTCCAGCTTGGAAAACAAGTGTAAAACCAGTGGGGTGAGATTTCTGGTGGCCTCCAAGGGACAGAATTTAGGGCTCTGTGTCCCCTACAAGCTCGGTTTCTTTTAGGTTCTCGTTTGTATGTTGATGGGTTTTTTTCCATTCTCCAGGATTTCTGGTGGCCTCCATGGGTCACAGTTTAGGGCTCTATGTTCCCCCGAACTAATTTTCTTTTAGGTCCCCGTTTTCCCTATATTTTGATGGGTTTTTTTCTGTTCTCCAAGATTTCTGATGCTCTCCATGGGTCACATTTTAGGGCTCTGTGTCCCCTCTGAGCTTGTTTAGCTTTTTAAAATTTCCCTATAGTTCCCCATTTTCCCTATATTTTGAAGTTTTTTTCTTTTCTCCAGCATTTTTGGTGGCATCCATGGGCCACATTTTAGGGATCTCTTCGTGTCTCCTCTGAGCTCATTTTCTTTTAGCTCCTATCCCCATTTTCCATATATTTTGATTTTTTTTTCCCTTTCTTTAGGATTTTTATTGGCCTCCAGGAGTCAGATTTTAAGGATCTGTTTGTGCCCCCTCCAAGCTCATTTTCTTCTAGCTCCTGTCCTCATTGTCTCTATTTTTTTTTTCTTTTTCCTTGCTTTCTTCTCATCCTTATTGTATTTCCCACCCCGTGGCTTTGCTCCCCACCTCTCTTTCCCTCTTGCCATCTGCTGCAAGGGTGATTTCATCTTCCAAGCACCTGGAATTTGATCCATCTTTATTTTGGAGCCCTCCCATCCCTTCTGTTCCCTGGATTGCTCTCCCAGCAGTGTTTTCAATGAGCAGGTGGTTGAGGAGGGAGTTTATTTCCTTTATTTATCTATAAAATTCTTTTATTGTGCTGTTGGAAGGGAACCAGGGATTTCCTAACCACGTAAAACCTCAAAACTTGGGAAAACCTGGTATTTTGGATTCCTGGATTCCAGCCAAGGGGGCTGAGGGAGGGAAAAGTGCTGATTTGGGGGTGATGCTGCTTTGGGATACCTGTGCCAGGGAACCTTTCCCAAATCCTTGATATTTTCCAGGAGGAGACCAAAGCAACCTCCCCTCAAGGGCCAGCAGTGGGGCTGGAAGGCCCTTCCAGGTGAGTTGGGTATTTTTTTGATTATTTTTCTTCCAGGGAACTGGAATTTTGTCCTTTTTTTTTCTCCTCCCTGTGGAGCTGCACAATCCTGGTTTTCCCTCCTGGATCGCTGGTGCCTTCCCGGAGCATCTTCTCCACATCCTGGTGTTTTCAGTGACTTTAAAGCTTTTCAAAACCAATCCCAAGTGGAATTTGAGGTTCAGTCCTGGGATTTGAGGGTGGAGAGGGAAGTTCCAGCCCCATCCACCCTCCCCAGTCCAGCAGGGTGTGATCGCTCAGGTGCACATTCCTACATAAATTTGGGGAAGTCCTGGTGGGAACAACCACCCTCCCAAATCCTGGGAAATTTTGGCTGTTCTTTCCCTCTAGATCCTGGCAGAGATAGGAAGCAGAATTCCTAAAGCTGATTAATCCTCTCTGCCTCATAAAAATTCCCAGTTGAGAGGCCTCTAATAAAACCTTGGGAGGAAGGAGCTGATCCCAAAAGGTGCTGGAATTTTGCCTTCTGAGTCATGGATCTGCTCCCTGCCAATGGGATTGGAGGGGCTGAGCGTGTTTTGCAGGATGCTTTTCCCCAAGGAGTTCAGTGGGATTGTGTAACAGTGAGCAAAAAGCATCTGGCTCCTGGTTTTTTGGGGTTTTTTTGGGAAACTTGTTTCCATCCCAAGCCAGCTCGAAGGTTTTCCTTGCTTTGATGTCTCACAGCCTGGTAATTAATTATCTGCCTAGATTAATTTATGGAAAGGGGCCAAAATTCACGCTTTCTGTTGCAGAAATTTTGGTTAAAAGCAGGAATTGTGACTCTTCTCTATTTGGAAGTCCAGGAAGAGAAATCATTATCCTGCTTGGGAGGAGGAAACTGGATTTTCACCTCGTTTTTGGGAAGGATCAGGGCAGCTGGCTGTGCTTCCTAAGGGATCCTGCTGCAGGATCCAGGAGCTGGGAAAAGCAGGGAATGGATCTGATCCATGGCTTGAGCTTAGCTCCAGGCTTAGCTAGGATGGGCCAGAGGGTTTGTCTGGGAGGTGACAATGACCCAGAAGGGAAAGGGACACCATCACCTCAACATTAAACTCATGGAATTCTTAGGGTTGGAAAAAATATCCAAGATCACCACTAAACCATGTCCCAAAGCACCACATCCACAGGTTTTTGGAACACTTCCAGGGAGGTGTTCCCACCTGGACAGCCTCTTCCAGTGCTTGACCACCCTTTCAATGAGGAATTTTTTCCTAATACCCCACCTCAATCCACCCTTTGGAGTTTTAGGCTCAGCCTAGGAGACATAAGCTTGGTTTAGACTCTGCTGCTGTTTCCTCATTCTTATTTTGCTTGATTTTTCTGGAATGTGCACACCTGGAAGACTCACAACTCCCTGCCTTGGGAGAAAATATAGGGGCAGGTTGGTGCTTTATAAGGGTTGCAAATCCCACAGAATTCCCAAAGATTCACCTGAGCTCTCTCAGAGCTGAGCAGGGAAACACTCCTGGGTTCCTCACCCATATGGATGGTGGAGATCATGGATCTGGACAATCTTTGTCCTGTTGTATTGATAAAGCTCCTTCCCTGCCCATTCCCCACTGGAATCATCCCCAGGAATTGTGTCCCATCTGTCTCCTTTTCCAGTGTGTCCATGGTTGGCCTGATCCCTTCCTTTGTGCTATTGGTGCTGCCAAACCTTTTCTCCTGAGGTTTCTCTGGGAATATTTCCTTAGGACTTCCCCTGTTTTGTCTGGAGACCTTGCGGTTCTGCTCCTTTGAGTTTCCTCATCCTGTAAAATCCAGATTGGGGTCGTTCCCTGCTGCCTCAGGATATCTCCATCTCTGGTGCTGCTGTGGTTGGAGGGAATTGAGGCAGCAATTCCCTGATTTGGAATTTGGATGGAAAAGGGGAATGCTGGTGGTGAGAACTGGCTGTGATGTCGTTGTAGGTCCCAGGACCAATCCCAGAGAACAGGACCTGCAGTGGGAGAGCAGCACTTGGAGACCCAGAATGGAATTGGGGTAGGAAAACTGGGGGGGAATGTCACCCCCTGGACCTCATCCTGCATCTCCACCGTTCACTTGGGATTTGGGATAACCTCTCTCCCTTTCCCAACATCGCTTCCCTTTATTCCTGCTTCCCACAGGTCCCAAGTGAAGGTGCTGCTGGTGGGGTTGCGTCCCCCTCTGGAGATCCTTTGGAGAGGGATGTGGGGCTCACAGCTGTGAGGGAGAGTGAGGAGAAGCAGCTGGATCCCCCTATCCCCCAGCAGGAAGAGGATTCCCAAGCCCCAGAAAGAAAAAGAGGGAAGAAACAAGAGGGAAACAAGCAGGAAAGGGGATTGAAGAGAAAAGGAGGGAAGAAACATGAGAAAAACAAACAGGGAAAGGGATTGAAGAGAAAAGGAGGGAAGAAACATGAGGACAACAAGCAGGAAATGAGATTGAAGAGAAAGAGAGGGAGGAAGGATAAATTTGAGGATTTGATGGATGGCATTGAGGAGGAGGAGGGGGATGAAGGCAGGAATTGGGAAGGGGGACAGGGAAGAGCCAAAAAACAGAGGAGCAACAGCAGCCAGGGATGGGATGAAGGGAAAAGAAAGCAGGAGAAGGGGAAAGCAAAGAAGCAAAGCAGGGAGAAAGTGAAGAGGGTGGAAAAGGTGGGGAAGAGGAAAATGAAGACGGAAAAATTGCTGAAAGAGGAGCAAGAGATGGAGAAAGATGAAGAGGGAGAGAAGGGAGTGGGAGGTGAGGAGGAGAGGGTGGGAAAGGGAAGTGGAAATGGAAAAGGAGTAGAGAAGGAGGAAGAGGTGGATGAGAAAGGGGAGGAAGGATTGGGAGAGGGCAGGAGTGCAGGGATGGGGCAGGAGGTGAAGGAGGAAAAGGATGAAGGGAAGGGAGATACTCAGGTGGAAGAGAAAAAGAAGAAAAAAAAGAAGAAAAAGCCAGAGGGGGAAACAGAAGAGATGGAGAAAAAGAGTGAAGAGGAGGAAATCCCAGGGAAAACTGGGAAAAGGAAATCTAAGGAAGGAGAAGAAAAGAAAGAGGAAGAAAAGAACAAAAAAAAGACTAAAAAACAGAAGGAAGAAGAAAAAGAGGCGGAAAACAAATGGAAATGGTAAATTTCAGTGTGTCTTTGGCAGGTCTAACCCTGGACTGGGATTTAAATTTTATTTTGTGGGGTAAAACAGTGGAAATTCCTATTTTTAGCTAATTAATTTTCCTATATTCCTTTGAGCCTTGACTTGCCACTCTTGGAAATGGGTGAGAGATCAGGGAAGGTCCTGAATGCACAGCAGGATTTGTATCATAATTATTTTTACTTTAAAATTTATTTGTAATATTTATTTCTCCTCCAGTGTTTTTCCTGGTGCCCATCCTGGGAAGGGAGAAGCTCATAATTATTGGAAGGAAATAGTAATAATAGTAATAATAGTAATAATAGTAATAGTAATAATAACAGTAATAATAATAATAATAATAAATTCCAAGACAGCAGCACCCCTATCAGGAAGCTGTAGAGGGTCTGAATTCCTTCCCCACTTCCTTCTGCAGCAGATTTGGGATGATCCAGGCAGGTGTTTTGTAGGAAAGGATGTGGAATGTGGCTGCTGGATGCTGGATTATTTTTTGGAAGTGCGACTTCAGCCACTTGGTGTCACTCTCTCCCAGATCTCCCAAAGACCTGGAACAGAGCAGGAGGATTTTTGGGATGCTTTTTGGGAGCCTGTGGCAAACCCTGTTCTGGGAGAAGCCGTTATCCCAGACAGAGATATCCCTGGATATCCCTGGATCTTTGAGGTGGCCCTTGAAGGATAAGAAAAATAAGATTTTATATATTTTTTTCCTAACCGATGCCTTGTTTGGAATGGCTGGATCCCAGCATGGAGGCTGGTAAATGGGAATTCAATGCCAAAAAAATTATCCACAGCTACATTTCCCATGAGGAAATTGCCATGTGTCACCCTCCTTGGCCTCTGGATGGGCTTGGGGGGCAGCTGTGCAAGGTGAGTGTGGGGGATGCTCTGCAGGGATTTGTGATCCCAGAATTTTGGGAAGAGAGATGATCACAGATCACAGAAATGATCCTGACACTGCCTTTCTCTGAGGCTTTCAGCCCAAATTCCAGAAGTTTGATGGTTTTCCTTGACTATTTAATTTCCTCTGTTCTTATGGTAAAATGCACCTTTGGGTACCATGGATTTATTCCACTCTGCTTCCCATGGGGAAGAAAAAATCACAAATAACTTTTGGGGCATTGTTGAGTGAGAAACAGGAATTTTGCTTTTTCTGTGTGGAATCTTGCTGTGTTTCCCCAGAAATCCTTGGCTTTTTTTTTTTCCCTGGAGATGCTGGAATTAGGGGACCAGTGCCAGCCTGGCTGTGGGACACAGATGCTGTCCCCTGCTGTCACCAGTGCTCTTTCTCTGACCCTAACCTGTGGTTTTATCCCTCTTTTTAGAGTCCTGCTTTCCTAGTTGGATTTTTTGACATTATTTTTGTAAATTTTAAATTTAATTTTACTGGAATTTTTGTTGCTGTTTTTTAAATCCTCACAGTCAAAACTTGTAGTGGCTTTAAAATCCCGTTTGCTCCTGCAGGGGAAAGGATTCTTTAAGATCTTATGTGTGTTAAAATTAAGTTTTCAATATTTATGAGGCATAGCTTTTCCAGAGAAGCCCTCTCTGCCCCATCCCTGGAAGTATTCCTTGGATTGGATGGGGTTTGGAGCAACCTGGATTAGCGGAAGGTGTCCCTGCCCATGGGAATGAGTTGGAATGAGGTGACTTTTAGGATCTCTTCACTCCCCCCCTGAGCTGCTCCATGTCACCACACCTCAATTTCATGGATTCCATTCCAGTTTTCCCTGTTTTAAAGAACAGGGAAACTGAGGCAGCAGCAAAGAAAATGAGATTTCACCTGGAATTTTTACCAGCTGTCTCTGCTCCGAGCATCCTCCCAATGTGACCTTGGGAGGAGGTGCCAGACGCCAGATTTGGGATATTCCCATGGACTCCTGTGTGTTTATTCCAGGTGGGAAGAGGAGAAGAAGGAAGATGGAATCAAATGGATGCAGCTGGAGCACCGAGGGCCCTACTTTGTGCCCCCCTACGAGCCCTTGCCCAAGGATGTGCAGTTTTATTACGATGGTACAGCTGTGGTGGGACCTGGGCCTTGGGGTGGTGCCCTCTCCTTAGGGAATATGAATATCCCATTGGAAAAGCCATGGGTTCCAGCTGGAGGAACTTACACGTGGTTGGAGTCATGGAGGTTTTTGGGGAGCTGATCCTAATTGCTGTTTTTTCTCATTAAGTTGAATTTTGGGTTTGAGCTTTGTCAGCTCATCCATGCTTTCCAACGAGCTGGAAAAAGGGGATTTTATTGATCCATGGCCTCAGTGACTGATACATCCAAGGATTTTGGCTGGGCTGCTCCAAGCTGCTGATGTCCCCAGGGTCACCTCACATCACACTCAGGGTGTCACTGTCAGGACAGATCCAGGCTTTTGCTGCCTCCAAGTTTTCCTGACATTCCCACTGGGATTCCTGCCATTCCTAGCTTTCAGTTCATCCCTGAACTCATTTCTGATGGATCAAAGGGAGGGGGAAATAAGGACATTGGTGGTCAGTCCAGGGATGGTGGAGATGGAAAGGGATCACATTCCCTTGGTATTCCTCAGTTCCCTGGAGATTCCCATACTTTTTTTGCCATAGGAAAAAGGCCATTTTGGGAAAAGGAGGTGCCTGGGAGCACCACAGGGCACTGCTGGGACATCCATGGGGCTGTCAGGGATTTTGGCTCCATGAGGAGGAGCCTTGAACAGGGTTTGGACCTGCTCTGTGATCTTTGAGGTGTTGTGGATCTGGGCTGGAGGCTTTGGAATTTGGGATCTTTGATGTTGACTTTTTTTCCTAAAAAATATCACTGTTCCTGGATGGAAAAGTGTTTGTGGACAGGCAACAACCCCAAGCAGGAAGGGCCCATGGATGATCTGGTGTTTGGGGATTGTCATGGAGCTGCTCCAGAGCTCCATTCCATTCAGTCCAAAAATCCCAAAAACCAGTGGTTCAAGTAGGAATCAGCCATTCCCTGGACATCTCCAGAGGACTTTTTCCT